ACACACACACACACACACACACACACACACACACACACACACACACAACTACCATTTCACTCAACCATACATCCTCGTTCGCGCACCCACCTTCTTTGTCGTCACGGCGAACGATGGCATCCTGTATGACGTCGGCGAGGCTGAAGCGGACGCGGTGCTTCTTGCGGTGGGTGGGCGGCGCTCGAACCTTGATCCCACCTTGCTGGCGCTGAAGGCTCTTTTCCCTCTCGTAGTACGCCCTTATTTGGTCACAGCGCATCCTCCTGACCAGCCGCTGGCGCTGGCCAATGGGGAGAGACTCCAGCAGACACTGGTCTATCTCCATGTTCTGACGGAAGACATTACATAGCTGAAAACAACCTAAAGAGCAAAAGAGAAAATCGGTGAAAACACTGCGGTCCAGAGCATTTACTCACTATACACTTTGATACTGAGCGAATGAGACAGCACCAAAGTGATGAAACACACCGACGCTGTCAGTTTCATCTCCAGGCACAGCTGCGTTTAACCGTTTTGCGTGCATGCACGTATGCTTGCATGTCTGTCTGCAGTTGTGTGTGGGCAGGCATTTAGTATATTTACTGTAAAGGATATAGTCTGTTTAGCCTTGGGGGTGAGTTGAGAGAAGCATCACGGCATTTTTGTGTGTCGCCTCTCCTGTCGCAGTGATTCTCCTGACTCCGCATAATCTCTCTGCCTCTCGGTGGAACTTAGCCAAACCGATCTCATCCCAGGCAGCTGCTAAACCTATTATGGTCTGCTTGGATGACTGGGACGCACAGCGCTTGTGCAGTAGGTGGGCTCAAAAAGCGTTTCACTGAGGCTGCATATCACTTTACTTTGTTTTTTCTTTTCCTTTTAGTAGGTACTGCAGCTGCACTAATGTAGCTAATATTTGTCATAGCATTGAGAATTGAAGTCTGACCCTCTTGCTCAGTTGCTGGGGGTCACAATAGCCCAAAAAATCATGCTGGCTTGCATACTGCAAAATGCCACAGGATGCAGTAAGACATCCTGGTATTTTTTGGCGTACTGCCTTTGACATACTATATTGGGACTATATTTTTGCGGCAAACTAAGTAGTATGGTAACACGGGTATTTGATTCACTGCAAGTGTACTCAAGTAAAAATCAAGAGAGAAAGAATACAATACAAAGAAAAACATATTACTTAAGGCAGGTTTTAAGTAAAAGTATGTGCATCAATCTGGCATTTAAAGCGCTGATGATTTGACAAATTCAGGTCACAGCCACGCCGGAGGACAAGCAAAATATGAGGAGGAGGATGTCTTTGCAGAGATATTGTGTTTTTCTCTCTGACTCACCGACTCATCCCTCTTTGGCCCGTGCTCTCTCTATATCTCATTTCCTTCTTTAATCAAGCTCAACTTTGTTGCTCTGCATCTTTTGGGCCCATTGTGTTTTAAGTGTCCCCCTTGGAGCATCTTTGTCTCTCCATTGATCTCCAGAGGTTCCCTGAATCTCTATTTTGTCTCTGTAGGGTGACGGAGCACACATCAGTCTGCTCGTCAAGTGGAAAGTACTGTTAGTGGGACACCTTTGAAGTACTACATGTTGTCCCACAACCCCGTCCGTCTGTCTGTCTGTCTGTCTGTCTGTCGCTGTGTTGTGTCTACTTTATACAATAAACTGGCATTTCTTCTCTTAAGGGGCTGAGGTGTGTTTGGACTAGATCTTTATCGGGCAGAGACAAAGCCGTGCAGGCAGACAAATGGAGGCACAGCCTGCCCCCTCCACTCTGGTTTTACACACACACACACACACAACACTACACCAGTGCCATCTGCTCTGGTTAGACTTGCAAAAACGGTTCTTTTGTGTTCAGGTTCCAGACAAGTGGGGGGTCATTAATGTACTGTTTACGCCAGGTGTCTGCTTCAACTGCTTTCTATTATGGTGACTTGCCTTGCACATTGAGCACACACACATACAAACACAAAAATACACTCAACCTACTGCCTTTTCCAATATCACACCACTCCATCTCTCCACAGTCCAGCTTGCTCAGTCATTGCCTCCTTTTCGCTCCCTCTGCTCACCCTTTCTACTTTGATAGGTGACTTGCAGCGGTAGCTGTGGTGTGTGTTCCATCTGTGTCCACAGCGCACACCTATAAAAATTGGGTGCACTGATATATGATGCCCTGATCTATTGTATGCTGACACATAGCTCATTGCGGGGCTACCGTACAGAGCATTGAGAGCAGGGCTCCTGGAGGTTTAGGCTATATTTACGTTCATATGCATAAACCACACTAGCTCGGTTTGCTTTACACCAACACATTGTAGATATGGTGAACCGTATGTCTCCATCTCTGCCTTGGCTTTGTGACTGTCATCGCTTCCTTGGCTTGGACATATCCTTCACACTCTTTGTCAACCTCATACATCATCTATTGTACAGGCATTCAAGGCTACAGTCACATCAAAGCCCCATCAACTCTCTGCACAAAACGTGGCACATAGATACAGACAAGACTCACTCATGAGGCATATACATCGTGTACAACTGTTGTACACGATATACATCGTGTACAACAGTTTAACACCCTAATGTAAAACACAACATTTAGTTAGTAAATTAGTGATACAAATGCACTGGTCTTAATAAATAATTATGTATGCTCAGTGTGCTAGAAGGTTGACTTTAACGGCACAGCAGTTCACACGTGGCACTAAATGTTGTGATATGTTGACGAAAAACTCGGTGTGTTGCTGTGTATGCAATGTGGCTGAATTTGTTGCTATAATACATCATTCCGAGGAGCATTTCGTTGTCTTCCGTTTTTAGATGAACACATCAAATATGGCCAGTACTGACAGCAAAGATCAATAGTAATTTGCCCTCAGTCAACGAATACTTGAATTTCATGTGAATGAGAGAGGGAAAGGACAGAAGAGCTAGTCAGTCTAATGTGAAAAGTGCTGAATGAACCTGAGAGAGATGGAGTGAGTGAGGAGACACAAAGAGAGAGAGAGGGATAAAAAGCAGAAGCTTTCTTCTCTTGCCATCCCATCAGTTATTGATTCAATGTGGAACATCCCATGCAGGCTCCGGCTAATAACACGGACAGCACTGCAGGAGCTTGTAAATCAGAAAACAGTACGCACACGCGCACACACACACACACACACACACACACACTTCAAACTGCAGAAACCATACATGTGCAGGATATAGATATATGTAGAGATTTTGGGGGCGAGACAGGTAGGGTTCTCAGAGTCAAGGAGGGACTTTATGACAGCATGCATCACCTCTATGATAGATTTCACTGTTTTCTCCTCTTTGATTTTCCCTCTTTATCTGTCATCGCCTGTCAAATATCAGCATCACTCTCCCCCATTCCTCCCCGAGTCTGCTCATCATTCTTCGCGCCACTCGGCCACATTCTTCATATTTCATCCTCGCCTCCTTTCCATTTCCCAATCCTGCCTCCCGTCTCTGCAACACTCCTCTAAATCACCCTCAGTTTCTTCTCCATTTGTCCTCCTCTCTCTGCAATGACTCTCTCTCTCTCTCTCTCTGACAGTCTGTCACTGTGTTATGAATATGCCAGACGCTCATGGGATCTGCATAGGTGGGACTCTATTTCATCGTTCTTTCCCTCTGCCGGTACCTGCCGCATTCACCGGTCAACTTCACACATCTGCAGCAGCTCTCTGCAGCAACCTTGCACACCCACATACTGCGTGCACACACACACACACACACACACACACACACACACACACACACACACAAAGTTTATATTGTGCTGCTGTGACAGCAGCTGGTGACCAGAATTCTTGAGCACATAAACTCACAGTATAGTCATGACACTGCCTATGTAGTGATGCTGACACAATAGGCACACACCAATGGCCGAGGCGCACACACACAAGTACACTTGCATGCATGCATGCATGCACACACACACACACACACACACACACACACACACACACACACACAC